AATTGTAAGATTATGAATGCAGTCTCAGAGCAAATACAAATATGGCGGAGGAAAGCTTTGAAATTAAACGTCTTTAAATGAACAAACAAATAAAGGTAATCTTGCCCTTAATGTTGGCTATTCCACAAAAAAAACATGGCCATACGAGCACCTTAATTGGTCTAGATTAGCCCAACTCCTCGAAGAACGCTGCAGCGCGAGGCAACATCAATCGTCACAACTTCGGTTCCATCTTCGGTGAGTTGAAGTGCCTTTCTTGACTCCGGATGAAACTTGGGCCAATCCACGTCTTGGACGCCTCCAGGATGGCTGAAAATGAACCAAAACTTTGCAATGTCACTGTAGAGCCACTTTTGTAATAAGGAAAGCTTAGATACCGGCACTCCATTCCCCGACTTTCTTGTGGGCTCCGATATTTTGATGCTTAGTGCAGAGCGGGCGCAATCGGGGATCATCACGACTCGACAATGTTTCTGTGCCTTGTACACGGGGTTCATGCGACGTTCATGCGATACATATTGCAGGACGCGAACTGTTTTCACGTTTACGGAGAACGGAAAACATTTCCTCAGATTTCAGATAAAGATTAAGATAACTGACAACCATTTTTCAAGCACCAAGGTTGATGACGTGTCGTAATTCTGAAGCGTACCCCTTATTTAGTAGATTCCGGTTTACCATATAAATATTTGTTTTGTTTTTGAGTAAAAGTATTGGTAAACGTACCTGATGCGCGGAAAGTTGCGAATGTTGCTCATATTAGGTGATTCCACCTTTTTGGAGGTGATCCCACTTGCAAGTGGCTCTATTTGTTTCAGATGCCACCTGCAAATGTCCCCCCTCCCCCATAAGTAGTTCCATTTGTAAGTGTTCCTTCTCGCAAGTGTTCCCATTTGCAACTGGTCTCATTTGTAAGTGGTTCTATTGGGCGCGTTCAGTAGCGGCTCCAGAAGTCAAGGAGTCAGCGCTCCTTCCACTAGACGGCAAAAACCGACTTCCGGTGCACGTAACTCCGAGTTTTCGGAGTCAGGCTCTCGTGCACCGTCTCCGGAGACGGCGCATGAGGAGTGAAAAGAGCGAGGCATGATGTAATTCCGGATCGCGACGAAATTCCGGTGCTAAAAGAAAGAAAAACAAACAAAATGGCGGGATAAGCTGCGTCGGTTCTGTTGAGGGTGTGCGGTCTGCTCGCTTTTGTTAACAAAAAGTGCTCAAGGTAAGACTAGAGCCACTCTATATGGCAGCGTAGCTGCCAGAGTAGCGACACGACGCGAAATTATCTAGATACACGACGTCAGAAGCGCCTATAGTGATCTCCATTTTGGGCCTGGGAGGTTTCTATGGTAACCGTACTGCTAGCGACGCCGGGCGGCAATCTTTATCTAGTTGATATCTTCATTCGTTAATTGAAAAGTGGTAAAAAACCTAAAAGGCGCTTTGCATGGCGGTACGGCACGGGCCTCTGGAGGAGCGGTGTCTGTTTCTTCTGTGAAATGAGACGATTTGCAGCGTGCACGGACAAGGCGAGTGGTTTTCCGCGCCGCCGGGATGGCGGCGGCTTCGTGGGACGAACGTACCGTCCTTGCACTTTCGGACTTCACACCTATGGAAAAAAATCCAATTACGCCGCTTACGACAGGACGATCGCCTTGGGACATAACTGCTGCTCGACTGCCCCATAGTAAGAGAATGTATGCTTAGCACCATACTTCTTCAAGACCCAATCATTCATTCAAGATGATATTATCTCACCGACTGGCGGGGACCGACGTCGACGACGGTATCACCCTCGTTTTGGGGCGATGAACAGTCGACGGGGTTAAACCAAGAAGGACAGCACGGTGGTCTACAGAGGATTGTTAACGCCATCAAAAGAGACGGACGACGGATATGAGGGGTTCTTGCCGACAGGCCAAGTGGTCGTGCGGAAGTTTACCGGCATGCAAAATGTCAATATTTTTATCTGGTGTAGCACGTATACCCGTGTTAAAGGGGCCATGAAATGATTCGTTAACTTCTTCCTTAGCTTTAATGCCCAACTCAAAAGAGAACAGTGGAATCACGCGGTCGTGACATGCTAGGGCACCGGTGGGATGACCCCAAGCTTCCAACGTGCTTTTTAAGCACACCATAGAACTTGTCATTCGCAAGTGCACTCATGTGCACTCATTGGCAACGAACGCGAATTCAAACATTCATCGACGAATTGACTGTTGACGAGCTTATACGTCCGAGTGACGCAGTTTTCGTGTCAAATGCGTGAGCTGCGGTAGGCTGGCGTCCTTATGGCTTTTGTAGGCATTGCAAAGAGGGTATTTAGAACAATACACACATGATGATAGCATCATGGCACACGGACATTAATGAGTACAAAACGGGCCCTGCGACAGAGAATAAATATTACACTCGTGAAAAATAATTGTCTGTAACTTGTTGATTACAAAGACGAACACACCTCTGAGCATATAGAATTAATAGTGTGTGTTGATGTATTCTCATAGAGCAGGTCATTTCATGTACGTCATTTGAGCAAACGCCTGCTTGTCACTTAAAAAAAAAGCAAAAAAAGAAAAAAAAAAAAACACTGCGATCAAATGCAAGCTATTGCAACGAAAGGACGTTTATCAAAGTCTTCAGAACTGTCAATTCGTAAAATCGTCGATTAGTACAAAAGTTAAAAGGTCGCAGGCGCTTCCTCGCTTAAAGTTGCTGTGATTATTCGGTGACTCAGGGCTGAAACAACTTCCCCTAGGCCCTACACACGACGTATACCTTTCGTTTCGATTCTCAGAAATTCCAACATTCAAAGGAAGCTAGAAAATGCGAAAATGTTATCCTAAAAGCTATATCGTAAGATCGTTGATTAGTGCAAGACGTAAAGATCGCAGGAGCTTCCTCGCTAAAAGTTTGTGATTACGCGGTTACCTGGGGCTGAAACAACTTCCCCAAGGTCCAACATGCGACGCATACAATTCGCATTGATTCTCAGGCATTCCAACGTTCAAACAATGCTAGGAGTATGCGAAAATTGCATACAAAATGTCTTATCGATCCTCGAACACATCCAGGAATACGATCACCGCTACTGCGATATGACTGATGCTGTCGCACAGGTGCTAATATCCAGAGCGATCTTGCACAGAAAAGGCATAAGGTCACATTCTTTTAGATCTTCACGTTATACCTGCTTCAGAGAGCATGAAGAAGTCCGAAATCGTCGGCAAGCAGCGGCACATTACGACTACCGCGAGCGAACAAACTCGTATCCACCAGCTCTGGGCGCTGCCATCTTACCGGTGACATCACGGCTCTTGCGAGGTCACGTGACGAGTAGTTACTCGGTTGCTAAGGAAACCGAGCCAGCTCAGCTCGTCGCTATGGTACCGCGTGTGACCAATCACGGTGAGAGGCGGAACAGGGAAACGCGTGGCGCTACTCTGCCAGCTACGCTGCCATATCGAGTGGTTCTAGGTAAGACGAATAACGCGTTCGAATTTCTTTTCCAGGTAAGGCTCTTTTGGGAAAATGCATTGGACAGTTCTTTGTTTGGTTTGAATATTCTAATAAACAACGTAAACGTTCATTTGACGCCGTGTCTTGATCGCCGTTGCACGGAAACTCGGTGAATATCGACGATAGTCCTGTCCGCGTTGAACAGAGCAAGGCAGGGTATAGGCGACTTTGGTAGCCGGTTGGACACTCACGCAGAACATGTTCCCGAGTAATCGTTTGTTTGCGTAGCTAAATCGGGGTGTACGCTGGATGACGCTCGCTTCGGCCGACAAAGCCTTTATCGCCGAGCGCGGCCGAATTTCCCGTGTGTATACGAATATATTCTATAAGAAGTTCTTAACGAAGGGCAGAACGAACGTATGGCCCTATGAAAGTATTGCAACCGGCGGCGTTGATTCGCCGAGCTCCTATTTTGCGTGCGCTGACGACGTTTCTGTCGGTTTTTCATAACAGAAGTAGCCTTTGCACCGCTTTGCGGAAGGCTCGATCGCGTTGGATCGCTTCGAACAGCAGCGCTGATGTGTACAGTCACTCGCATTTTCTTTAACGACCTTGTCCAGACTTCTTCAATACCGGCGTCAAATAAAAGCGATCGTGCTCGTCATCGTCTGCTTCCAGTTTATTCGGAGACCGTCTGGCACAGAGGAGGAAGCGGAAATGCGTAAAAGCAGCTGAGGACCCGCGCTTTTTTTTTTTTTTTTGCCGTTCAGTAGGCGCTCCGAGGACTCCGACTTGAGTTACTCCGTTCGGAAATGAGGGAGCCGCTACTGAACGCGCCCATTCGCACGTGGTGATACTTGCGAGCAGTCCCACTTAAAAGTGATTCCGATAAAAGTCCGTCGATGAACTTAATTTTCATTAGCACTTACCTGGTGCCATTTGTCACTGCTCCCATTGGAAATTTGTGTACTAATTAGACATATTTGAAGCGGCATTTTTTTACAAAGTTTCTTCTGAGTATCTGTTTTTAATATTTTTCCAACCGACGCCAAGAAAAATAATCTTTTGGACACTAGGGCTGAAGTCAGTGAGCTGACTGCTTACGATTTTATTTAAAGAAAAAAAAAAAAGAAGTGGTGTATAAATGGAGGTTCGAGTTTAAGAACGCTGTATCATTCTTAGCCTTCGCAATGCGAACAAAAGTCACTAAATACCTCCATTACGTATAGTGTCGAAGCTAAGAATAACACTGCTCTATTGAAATTGGGAACGACATTCGCACATTTGTTTCAAGCAGCCTTCCCTCTTGCCTCAAAAGAAAGCGTTCCATAATTTTCAGTTGATTTATCAAGTATACGTAGGCATGGTACCGTGAAATTACGAACAAGCTTTGCTAAACTGCCATTGAAATGAGGCGCAGAAACTAAGAAACAGACAAACGCGATCAGTATCAGGTTCATTTAAAGTTAAAGATACGCATACTTCTAGCGTAATTAGGAAATTTTTGCATTACCTTGGTGCGTTCATGCGATTTCTGCAGTGCATGCTCACCTTTTCTTGGCGAAACCGCTCCATAGACGCATGACTGTGCGGCTGATGGCGCGATCAGGAGCGCAACCACCGTCCTCAAGACTGTTTCCAAAAACGTAGGGTACATCGTTCGCGTGCGTTGTTTTCAACCAGGCTTCTCTTTCCATGCATCGAGGCACATGGCTGATCTTGTAGTAGTACACACCCGCTCCCGTGTTCTTCAACATCGTCGCATTCGCAAACTTTAGCGCAGCCCCCACTAAACCACAAACAACGTGAGAATCTCCTCTTGCATTTACCAACGCCTGTCTCAAGGCATCGTAATCGAAGTCTTGCAGATTTCCCATGTACTCTTCATGTACTCTCTTCAGCGAAGGGAGGTTCAACGAGAGAAAAATCTTGCCCAAGAAGTACTCCATTTCGATCTTATTTATTTTTCTCGAAGGTTTCGTCTGGGAGAATGTATCTCTAAAATCTTGAGAGATGTAAAAGGCTCCTTCATTTTCCACCTGTCCAATAAGAATGTCCTTGTTACCCGGGAACTTCGCCAGTCGTGGTTCCACCGGCATAAACTCGTCCCCGTATATAGGTTGGAAGAAAGCGGTTTTGAGCATTGTGAACAGCCTCTCCGTGACGCTTAGTTCAGTGGAATTTGCGGACCTAAGGCAGTCAACCGTTTCAGCAGTTAACTTTCCCGTAGAATTGGCTTCACGCGAGCAGCCAAAAAATTCAGCAAACGTATGAGCTCTCTTGAGCATATCGGTATCTTTGCTTACTATACCTTTCCGGTCGAACCCTCCGCTTTGGATGATGGCCTTGCGTACCATAGATTGGGTGATGGGCGAAATCAGATGAAATGTGGCGCTCCAGGCTCCTGAACTTTGTCCAAACAGTGTAATGGAGTCAGGACTCCCACCGAAGCGATCGACGTTGTCTCTCACCCAAGTGAGCGCGAGCGCTTGGTCGTAGAGCGCCTGATTACCGGGCGCGTCTTCTGTTCCGCCGTAGAGAAATCCAAAGACACCCAGCCTGTAGTTTAATGTGACAACGACGACGTCTCCGTAGGCTGCCAGGACAGCGCCGTCGGTAGCTGAACCGGTAAGAAGAGCGCCTCCAAACAGCCAGACCATGACGCTCCGTTTCTTTGACAGTTCCCGTTTCGGTGTCCAGATATTCAGGAACAGGCAGTCTTCACTAGTGGCCGAAGTTGCTAGAAAAGGAAAGCACGTTTCAGTTATAACCAAAGTGCTTTGCGATGCGCAAGTGCGTCTGGCTTTCTGCAGGCGTTGTGGTGACGTCAGATCGCCGAGCTCTGATAAGCTCCGATGGAAAGATAATGGGTAGACCTCAAGGCAGCTTGCTTTGAGGTCGACCCACTATCCTTCAATGAGAGCCAATCAGAGCTCGGCGTCGTTTTGACGTCACCACAACCCCCGCAAAAAAGCAGACAAACTTGCGCTGCACATAGTCGCCGAGAGCCTAAGAAACGCAGGGCGTGGCCTATTGTGTAAATGCTTCTTGGTCTGTGATTTTTTCTTCATCGTTCTCATCAGCGAATGCTCCAATCGCATTAACATTGGAGCTATATTGAGATGCTGAGTAATCGCCGCGCCCTGGACTTATTAATCTGCCAGAGACTATATAAAGGCAAAGCGGCACGTTCACTTATTCCCTATTATCGTATACCTTGTCAGAGAAAGAGTCTTCAGTTGTAGGGTGTCAGTGGAAGCAGCGGTAGCTCTAGCAGTGCATTGCCTTACCCATCCTTCGTGTTGTTCGCAAGATTAAGTTTTGTTGCAAAATGCTGAATGTCGACAGTTTTGTCACCGATGGTGATTGTGCACGCATAGGAAGCTAATAACTGAAATGCGTTCGTCTGTGTAACTATACCGTGTAACTATTCTTATTTTCAGCTTAAAGCCGATGCTACGACGTAATGGGGCCAATCAAGCAGTGTCAAAAGCGCAAGTCACTACACCTTTTCTTTTTATGCTTGGTTGAGCAATGATACAACACGTAGAAAAAACACAAGGAACAACATGATGGTGTGCTTTTGAAGTGGTCTGATTGGTCCCATCACCTCGTAGCTTCGGCTGCGTCTGCAATTAGGGTGAAAAGCGAGTGTACAAATTCGTTTGCTTTCGCGCGTCGCCGTTTCCTATTTAAGTTACATGTGAAGTCAGTAAGCGTAAAAGCGCATGTCTCACGTTTCAGCTATGTAATTGGGACCGATACCTATCGAAAATATTCGTATGATTCACATTGCAACCAGTCAAATAAAGGTTATTGATTCCTCTTGCATATTAATGATATTCAAGGTATTGGCAGATTATCTTTAACATAGTAGCAACTACTTTTTCCCTCAACCTGGCCACCTTCTTCAACTCCTTCTCCTTCCGCTCCGTCATATCCAGGAAGTAAGATGTCGTCTCTTTTTTTTTTTTTTAACCCGAAAACCGACCCGCGTACAACAAACTTATTCATGTGTTCGCAAAGAGAAAAAAAAATACAAGAGGACGCTTAAGCTTCGGCTCTAAGAGTGGAACGCGATAGCTAAGACTGTAAATCCCCGCTCGTTCCCAAGCCCTGAAAGCGTCAAACTTTAAAGAAACTGTATCACATGCACGAAATATATTTGACTATACTCTGTTGAGTTGTGAAACCGCACTCAAACCAATGAGTGGAACTCAACCCCCATGATGGTGTGACCATAAATGAGAGATGTGTGTCGACGCCTCTATATGACATTTAGCGACAGCTTTGGTGTGCCATGATTGTAAGAGCCTTTTGTTTTCTGACCTGATCCCATGTAATATTATTAATAGTAACAATAAAAAATGTCTGGGTGGCGGGTCCACTTCCGGCGCTCGAGCGAAACGGACGTTTTATCATGAGCTCCGTCATGAGCAGTAAAAACGGCCGAGTTAGGCCGTGGTATTATACTTTTGATGCCGCCACCGAAGATTATCAAGTTATCCTTCCCCAGCGGCCCACGGAGTGCGTTGTTACAAATATTGTGTTTCTTCACTGCAGCGTGAAAGGCCGTCCGTACCGAGTGCACGACGAACGGATCGACGTGATGAAGATTCTGGCTTCTGCGGGTTTTCATCAGATGAACCACGTATGGATGTTGAGGATGCACTCGCTCGCAGCGAAGCAACTACTGGTCAACGCCAAGAAGCTGACCATCAAAGGGGCAGCGCCTCGGCATTGACCTGGCGAACATGGTGGTGAAGGTGAAACTTTACTGGTCCCCGTACGACGTGCCCAACGTCCCGGTAAAGAAAGAGCTGGAGCGCTATGGCAAGGTCTCCGAGATCACCAGGGAGCTCTTCCGGGAGAAGGGGTTAGAAGCTGTCGAGTCCAACACTCAAAGTGTGCGTCTGGCCCTCAAGGAAGACTATATTGTCGACAGCCTCTTTTACGAAGTTCGCCTGGCGGGGTGTAAGGTGCTTGTTGTTTTGCCAGGACGCGCTCCGTTTTGCCTGCGCTGCCGTCATACGGGCCTTATTCGTCGGTACTGCCATCGTTTTGGCCATGAAGCCGACGACTATGTCAAGAGCTATCCGTCGATGTCCCGCGACCGCAAGATGGACGGCTAGTTGGACCTCGTGATGGAGGACGCCGAAGCGGAGGAGGCGGTCGGTGCTTCCAGACCGACCGTTCTTCCGCCGTCCGACGGCGTCTGGTCGGCTGTGCCCAGCAGACGTCGATCTTCCGGCCTCATCGGATGGAAGAAGCGGTTCCGAGCCTGTGCAGTAAGGTGCGGGGGCGGCGGGCGCGAAAACGGGGGTGCCACCTGCTAAAGAGCAAGTCCACAGCCAAAGCGACGGAAGTGCCCCGAGGGACGGTGACGACGGTATCCGTAGTCGCGGTCCCACGGCTCCAGTGCCAGACGCGGACGTTGAGATGAGCCAGGTCATCAAGCGAGCGCGAGACCCAACGTCATTCTCGGAAGACGTCGCAGCAGGATCGACCGCCACGCAGCCTGAAGACGCGACTTTTACCAAGCAACTCATGTGTGGGTTGTTTGAAATTTCCGCGCGAAGGGACTGTGACGTCATGACCCTATCGACCAATCAGGATTTTCCGTCCCACGCCACCAACGCCGAAGCGGGCTTTTTTTGCGACACGAGCTCCTTAAAGAATCCCTGAAAAGAATAAAAACAAATGTTTTTTTTTATCAGTCTGGGGCAGTCTGGATAGAACACACGTGTCAAAAAAAAAAAAATTAAGCGGAAATTTTTTTTTTTTTAGAGCAATATTGACCACGCAAGGACGCAATTTAGTCGGCAGTTACCTCCTTTCCATTTGTTTTCTCTCTCGGCAATTCGGGCGCGTGGAGGAGAGGTCGATCGGCTTCGCCTTCACGTTGAGGTGAAAAGTGCGAATGACCATCTCGTTGAGGTCGAAAGAGCGAATGACCATTCCGTGACGCCATAGAGTTTGCGCGCAGAATTTTGAAATAAACCTCTCGCCGTCAATATTGCGGACGGCGATACTGATACTGATAAAAAAATACCGATTAAAAAAAAGATTTGTTTCCTTTTCAGGGGATTCTTTAAAACACTTGCTTTGATAACTTTTTGTGGCACTTATATAAGCGTAATAAAGAGACAGGGGCAATAATAATTGTGTGTATGTTTAGACGGCGGGAAGCTATGTGGAGTGCAAGTTCGCCTGCTTCTTTTGCAGGGGTTGTGGTGACGTCAGAACGCCGAGTTCTGATTGAAGGATATATAGTCGGTAGACCTCAATTGAGCTTGCTTTCAGGTCTACCCACTATCCTTCAATCACAGCTCCGCATTCTGACGTCATCACAACCCCTGCAAAAGGAGCAGGCGAACTTGAGCTCGGCATAGTGAGCCCCTGTGAGCGTGTCTGCGGTAGATGAGAAATTTAGCCAGCGCAGCACCACTGCGGGTGTCTTTAATGTGCATACCGCAGTAGTGACACACGAGCGCACGCCGCTACAATGCTCGGTAACAGGGGTTAAAGGAGCGGTGCAAAGCTATTCAATTGGAATGTTTTTCACTTTACACGAGCTTACTGGCACTAGTGGGACTCAAGGAACTCGCACGCTACGCCACTGGCCAAGAAACTTGTTTGTTGAGGTGTAATTTCAAGGACAAAAGCGCCCATTTTCATTCAATCTCTCCTTTGCAAAATTTCATGACGTAACGTGGGGGTTGCAGTACACCCCAATGACGATATTTGAATGCGGTTCATAGATTGGATCCGAGCATTGCGGGAGCACTCGATTTGGGCTCGTGATAATTACTAGCTCGAGAAGCATTCGGGTATCGGTGGCCCGTGTCCAATCGCTGCAATGACGACAATAGTCGAGCCATAACAATGTCTGGAACTCAGCGCGTGTCCTGTGCTTTGCCAACCCCAGCGCGTGGCTATGATCACTGCATTGGCGGGATTAGGGTGCCTTCACTGAGGTCATTGAGGCACCCTAGGCGGGATATTATCGGCTCCAGATCGTGTAGCCGCTTATTCTGGCTGCGAGTTGAAAGGGTGAAGGCTGCTCGTTTTTCTTTAATTTTTTTCTGGGACTTTTATTGCGGGGGGTGAAGAACGAACACGTGTTTCATAGGTTATTAGCGTTAGGGGTCCATTATAAGCGGTATTTCAACAAAGTACAAAAATTGTTGAATCGCTCCTTTAAGTAACGAACATTATTGTATTTTCAGGACCATATAGTACGCGGACTAGACATGTTTAAAAGTCGAAAGTTTAAGATTTAAGTGCGAGTGTGTGTGTGTGTGTGTGGGGGGGGGGGGGGGGGACTGTCTACAGTTACTGACTATACAGTGAGTTGATTTTTCAAGATCTTTCATTATGGGCAGACGTGACGAATCCTGTGAATGGCAGATTATGTTAATGATGACGTTTTTTTTTTTTTTTTCATCCGAAATTGGGATTTCCGGGCTTCAGTTGGAAACCACGGTACTCAATCGTCGACTGCCCTTGAAAACCACGAACTTTTCTTACTTTCCTGGAACGTGGGCTTCGCGTCCACGATAGAAGTCTGCGTGCAAGCCGGGGCCGGTCGCGTGGCGTCCAGGGCTCCGTTCCAGGGCTTCCCGGGCTCTGGCCTCCGGAACCTCCGCTTGCCCACGGGGGCCTTGGCGTACGGGATTCCCGTAGAAGATTCTACGACTTTGTCCTCCAGAACGACCCGGCGCAAACCGCGCACGACTCCAGTCCTTGTCGACACGATGGGGCCGGTGGAACAGCTAGCGGGGGTCGACAATGGGATAGCCAGGGGCAATGCAAAAACGAGCCACGAGAGCACCATTCTGAACAGAAGCACTCAACCAAAGCATATGCAGCGCTGCGTGTATGACGCTGCTGCCAGCTGGTGCAAACTTTGTTTTCGGCCTCATAGCTAACGTCAGCAGCAGCCCGTTGGGTCTCAACCTCTACGCCATAACTGCAAGAAAAAAAAAACAAAAAACAAATCCAAACGTAAAATAACAAATCCTTTTAGCGACAGTATACAGGAACTCATTTTTGGCCCTCATGCATATACAATGTTGTTCGTTCGTCTGAAAATTGGCAGCTGCGCGGACCGTAACATGGGATATACGCTAACGTATCTCGGAGAGCTTTTAATTCTAAAAGCGTCAGTATACGAACAGGCAGATACAGCTACGTGATAATGTTTAGTGGGTCGGAGACGATCGGTCGCTCTTAAAGAACCCCTAAAATTAATTCTCTTTTTTAAACAGTCTCGTTGGGACACGCGTGTATAAAAATAAATTTTACGTAAAAAAAAATTAGTGCAATATTGAAAGCGAGAGATTTATTTGAATGCGCGCAAACTCCATGACGTCACGGAATGGTCATTCGTTCTTTCAAACTCAACAAGATGGTCATTCGCTCCTCCCACCTCAGCGTGAAGGCGAAGCCAATTCATCTCTCTTCCACGCGTCAAAAATGTCGACAGAGAAAATAACTGGAAAGGAGGCGACACCGACTAAATCGCGTTTCGCGCCGTCAATAATTTTTTGAATTTTTTTTCGCGTAAATTTTTTTTTGCACGGGTTTAAGTTAGATTGTTAAAAAAAAAAGAACATTGGCGTTCTTTTCAGGGGCCCTTTAAAGGGATATTGAAGCAAAGGATTTAAGCGCGAAATACATGTGCGACGAAACCGTCCGATCCGACGTGCGGACTGCCGGAATGACCTTTAGAGGCGAGGGTTTTCGTAGCATCGGAGAGCGTCGAAAACCCTCTCCTCCGACCGTCGTATTGCGTGGTCGGACGTCGGATCGGACGGTTTCGTGGTACATGTGTTTCGCGCTTTAGTGTCCGTAATAAGTGGCGCACGTTCTTTCCACGAGCCAGCAGCCGCCGGTCACACGCAGCGAAAATGACGTCAAAGACCTCCATTCGCGCTTAAGAGGACAGCGAAATGCATGGTCTTCGGGCCAAAGGATAATAAAGCCAGTCTTTTCATCTCTACAAGTGAAAGCTACGTGCTTGTTAGATCAATTAATCGCTTACCTTTTATGCCAGACACCACTGTGTAGATGAAAAACGTTTATTCTCCTTTTGCCCGAATGCCATACATTTCACTGTCATCTCAACCGCGAATGGAGGCTTTTGACGTCATTTTTGTTGCGCGTGCTCGCGCACATCGGCGGCTACTGGCTCGTGGAAAGAACGTGCGCCACTTATTATGGACACTAAATTCCTTGGTTCAGTATCCTTTTAAGGTACAGCACTTTTCTTTAAATCACGGTGTCGAACAGAATCCGAAACGCATCGTAAACCAGACCAAAGCCCTTATTTTTGACAGAACAGAAACGAAACGGAAGCCGAAATCAAACTTAACTCGGGCACGGTTTTCAAACTCAACTCAAATGATGCGAGCACACTGAAAGCGAATCTGCAACCTCAAAGCGGATCCAAAGCGTCTGGGATCGAGCGGTTGGGGCGCGCTTTTGCCAACCGCTTCGGGAACGATTTCTCCCAACCGCTTTCGCGAACCGCGAAGCGGCAATTAATCACTTTGCGACGCTGACGTGACGTCGGTGGCATTCGAAACAAGATGGCGGCTGTCGCTGGTGAGGCGTCTAATGCGCTGTAGTCCGTGTGACTAGTTGCGTGCAGTACAGGCGCGCTAGAAAGGCTGGGACAGAAGAGGAACCTCTCCTCTCTAATGTTCCAACTGCTCTCATTTCTCATCTTGCCGTCCAGTGCCCTCCTCTCCCGTTCCGCCTTCCTAGTGCTCGCCCTTCCTCTATTCGCCTCGGCGTTGCCTCCGCTCGCACTGCACAAAGTATTTGGTATGGCGTTAAAGCAGACAAATCAATAAAGAAGCGTGATGTTTACGTCCGTCACTTCCACCCGCCGCGAAAAGAATGGACCCTTAACCTTAACGGGTTTTGGTCCGGTGATTTGGTTCCGTTGTTTAATGTTCGGGTTGTCAAAGCCCTTCCCTCTCTGAATTGTTAGTCTTTGCCCATAGAAGATCGCAACCCGTCCCGATCGATCGAAATGTCAGCTTTTGTAACCACTAAAGCAGTCGCGTGAACTACTGAAAGCTTTCGACATCCTGCATGACCACCATGAAGGCCGATGGAGACGCCGTGAGCCTAATTGCTACCACGGGGCTGGCAGGGTACCTTCGCAGCTCTACCTGTAACGTTTACTACTTCCAAAAGGAATAAAGGAAACCTACTCAAGAAATAAAGTGCACATACCAGACGATGCATAGATAATCCATACGGCGTTCATTTGAGCTTAATGTAAAACAAACAGTAGACTCGATTGACGTGCGAGTGACGAGAGCAGAGTCCGCCATCAACGACACGACCGGCTAGCACCGAATACATTCCCCCGCACCACGGTTTACCAGTGCCTCTCACAACTTCGAAAATGATAAGAGCAAACAATGCGGGGGAAAAACTGGCCATCTATCCCGAAAACTAAGTCAGCTATTCATGCGGTAAGGATCCACTTCGAAGAAAGGGTCGGGAACATCCTTTTCTGGGTCAGCAAGGCACGCCTACCCGTGGCTGAGCTTTGCTTGTGTATGAAGTCGAGGGAATCGCAGACGGGTTTTGCGGGCTCAATTTTTTTTTCATGAAGAGCGCATTGTATCAGTCGGTCAATTATTTACTTGTTCTAATTACCTGGACAAGAGGACTCATGCTTGCATTCATCCTATGCCCGAAGAGCAGTCTTGTTGAAAAAATGTTGACTCCCGTTTCTTCCAGTCTTTTCAATAATCTTTTTTCAAAAGTGTGTGCCGCCTATGTTTCGTTTCACCGTAACTTAAAAAAAGGCAACCGCCTTAGCCCCCTTGAGCCAATCAGAGAGACGGAGTGAAGGTATGAGACAAATCTGTGCAGATGGCCACTCTGATATGTCGTCATGTGCCTCTCTCCAACGTGCACATTGGCTCACCGAGACTGTAGCCTTCGCCGTTTGCCAAATTGTGATGAAACGAATTACAGTAGCTACTATTCTAATTACTCAAGGCCTTCATACTTTGTGCGTTTGTTCGACAAGAATGTTATGTCAGCCATCACTGTGAACTCGGCTCAGCGCCTATTGTACTCGAATGCTGCATTAGCGCTCGACGTGAACCGGGACTCATTCGTGTGCTTTAGGCTGAAAAAACAAAATAAAACAAAACAACAGTCGTTTTGCTTGATGCAGTATTGCAAAGGGTCTACTGTGTCATACGTATTGGAAGTGTGTTTCTATATAACAATGCATCAACTCATACTATTAAACTAGATGCTCACAGTGCGTTTGTTTTTGCAATTAACAAGTTACAGCAATAATTATTTCTTACGAGTATAATATTTATTTTCGGTAGCTGGGCCCGTTTTGTGCTCAATAATGTCAGAGAGCTTTGGTTTTATTATCATGCGTGTAGTTTTATGTACCCTCTCTTGCAATGCCTACAGAGGCCCTTGAAGGGAATAAAGTAATAAACAACATTTTCACGTCACTGGAGCTGGTTTTCGGATGCGCAACATGTTCAGGAGAATTGAACGAGTGCAGCGCATTGCAACCAGTCTGCCAGTCTCGTATGTCCCATTAATTAATATTGAAGGGTCAGAGATGCGAGTGTCCTCAAAAGGTCCAGCACGTACGGTGAACACAATCTTTTGTGCGTAGGCTCTGAAGGCTTAAAGGTGAGCTGAAATATGTTTATTTGGTTAGTGTGTCAATAATGTTTATTTCCGCTTGACTCCATAATTATCGGTTCTTTGCAAATGGTTTCATAACGAGTTTCCCCTGCGACAGTCTCGTGTTAGGCGTTCAGTCGTAGTACCTGTGCTGGTTGTCAGATGAGGCTCCTGGCAGGTCGGTGTTCAGTTTGGTCGGGTGGCAACTTTGACCGACCGATGCCGTCAACGCCCCCACCACGGCTATGGTGTGGGGGTTGTCGTTTTTTTTGGAACTTCTAAAGTTTTACTTGGAGTCGGCTTTCATTCTTTTTGAGGACCGACATTACTTGCAAGGGAAAGGTATCTGCATTGGTTCCTGTGCTGCCCCTGTGCTTTCCGATATTTTCTTGGTCAAGTATGACCGAGCCATTCAAAATGCTATGGAAGGTAAACCCATGACCAAGCTGTTTAGGTATGTAGATGACTATTTAGTGATTTCGCAAAACTGTGAAAACCTTACTGTATGTGAAGTTGTTGAAGATGTGATGAGTGTGTTTAAAGACAGGTCTAGAGGCCTGAAGTTCACCTTTGAACGCCAGGATGGACAGTTTCTGGATTTGCAAATGCAATTCACAGGGGAACACGTGTGCTCGAGTTACAAACCGCGTATCCAGCAGAAAATCCTCCCCTATGATTCGGCGGATTCGAAGTTGGTGAAACGGAGCATTGCGTCGTCTTGTCTACAGACGGCCATGGAAAAGTCGTGCCAACATGCCATGCACGACAGCTTCTGTCGTCAGGCCCAGAGTCTTGGAGGCGCAGGCTATCCAACTTCCCTTATGCTTGCAGTGGCTGAGAAACTTCTGAAGACGTTTAGGAGGAAAAGCCAAAAGGACAGGCAAAAAAAGAGAGCAAGAACACACGTGATGCCATACTTGCACAAGATTTCACACAATTAAAAAAAAAAAAAAGGTTCGAGGTACCTCTGGTCTTCTCAGCACCACGTAAACTGGCTCAACTATGTCTGAGGATAAAAGAGAAAGGCAAGGGTAAGCGGCAATGCACAGTGAAGCACGTAAACAAATACGTGGAATGCGCGGTGGGCGTGATTTATATACAATTCCATTGGACTGCGGCAAGGTTTACATAGGTCAGACCGGGAGGTGT